GTTGGTCTGGTGAGCTTCTTGCCTCCATCTACCGCATCAAGGAGCACTTCAGTCAGGTCTTGGGCCCACGCCAGGGTTCTACCAGCAACCCGACTGCTCCTCCTGATGGAGACGCGCCTCAGGGCCCCACCACCGCAACTGGAGGTCCTCAGGTTGCCTTGAACAAGATCTTTCACCACATTGCCAACAACACCGTGCCCGAGTCGATTCGACATGCCCTTTGCTCCATCAACTACACTATCCTGGAGAAGGCCAATGGCAAGTTTCGACCCGTGGGCACGGATTCCATCTTCAACAAGGTTGTCAACCGCGCTCTGCTCGAGCAGCAGCAGCCCCATATTGCCCACTTGCTACAGGCCAGTCCAGAGCTGGCCGTCGGAGTCAAGGACGGCATTTCAGCAGCGGTTGGCATGGCCTTTGGTGAGCTTCAAGCCTGTGAGTCTACCCCGGGCTGGACCATGCTCTCCCTCGATTTCAAGAGTGCCTTCAACTACACCGACCGAGCACGGCTGCACGAGATTGTGGCCGACAAGGTCCCTGGCCTCTTGCGCGCCTTTGAACGACACTATGCTCGACCCACTACCCACTGCATTGTCGACAAATTCTTCAAGGTGATTGACATTGATGTTGGCCAAGGCATTGTGCAGGGCAACGAGCTATCGCCCTTCTTCTTTGCCCTGTACTCCTGTGAGGTCCTGGGTCTCCTCGACGCCACCACTGACTACCGCTGCAAGGTCATCAAGTACCTCGACGACATTGTACTGATGGGTCCCGCGGAGGACGTGGCGGCCGACGTCGAGATTGTCAAGGCTAGTGCAGAGTCTGCTGGCCTTCATTTGCAGCCCAGTAAGAGCCGCCTCTACATGCCTCGCCACCATCCCGCTTCCATCGCTGCTATCAAGTCTGTCTTGCCAGATGCCGTGCGCGAGACGGCCAACACGGGCATGACGGTCTTGGGAACGCCGATTGGCCGTCGCGAGTGGATGAAGAAGCAGCTGAACGACAAGGCAAAGCACATTGCTGGCAGGCTCAATGACATGCTGACGACCGGTGTCTCGCTTCAGGCCCTCCTCACGGCCATGCAGTACGTGCCTAGCCTCATCAACCACCTCTACACGCTGCCCCCAAGTCTCACGTCGGGCTTGTCCGAGCTCTTGAACCGTGCTTGCAAGGACACCTTTGTCAAAGCCTTTTTTGCCAAGGTAAACCTGTCTGCACCAGCTGGAGCTGAAGGTCATGACGTTACGCTGGAACAGCTCCTGGAGGCTCGCATCTTCACGCGGGCCAACACCGGGGGCTTTGGCCTGCACGACTTGGTTGAGCGCGGTCCGGTGGCTTATGTCTGCAACATGGCCAAGCTGGCCACTCGCTACCCTCGGGTCTACGATCGACTCTTGGAGGATGCATCGAGGGCTGCCGACTTTGAGGCCCACGTGCAGCGAGCTGGCTTCCAGATGGCCACGGTCAAGGACGCGGCGACCCAGCGACCA